TGATTTGCTACATGCTTTTGTAATGGATTTTCCATCCCTGGGTATGGTTTGTAAGAGGCTCAGGAAATGGAAAATGATATTGTATTGTAAGATGTTGCTGGCATGCTGCCTGGAGCCGAGTTGTCTATCTGCTGTAATAATAGTGATCTGTCCCTCAAAAATTTCCTGCCACGCCTTGATGTTAGAGACAGAGAGGTACCAAACACTTCTGGGAGACAAAAAGGATCAGTTAAAGGCTGAAGACATCAGCTTATCTTCGCAGGGCTCCACCATTCCCACACCCTGCCTTAACTACACCAGATGTTCCGGGCCTGTTGTTGTTTGCCTACTGGACTGAGGGTCCAGTCTTAGCCTTATAGACTCCTTTGTCAAGGGGTCTTCTTCTAAGTTGGCTGCTTGCACCATTCTTCCCTGCATGGGTCCCAAGACAGCCGCCTCTTAGTTTTAATCCTGCCCTTACCTTCAGGGTCAGGACAGACTTACCCCTCCTTGGGGTGTATTCTCGTCTGTGTCTCTTTTCTCTTCTAGGGTCCCAAAGTGGTTATCTCCACCCCTCAGGACTGGACTCACCAGCAGGGCAGTCTCCTCCATCACTTTGCTGGCTCTCTCCAGGTAAGCCCAGGGACCAGGGCTTTCCTCCAAGCCCCAGGGATGTTCTTTCTCTTGTCATCTCTTGTTGTCGTCTCTATCTTTGCCTTTCTTCCCTTTTCTCCAAACCCCAGACACTCCCTTGGTGTTCCCTTAAATTCCCTTCCTCACCAGCTGTGTCCCCCATGATAGCGTCTGATTTGCTGCCTTCTTGACACAGATGTTTTTCTTTTACTTTTTTGGCATGGCTTTTTCCTTCTTCTTTTGCCATACCTTTCTCCCTGTCCTGGTCTTGAACTCTGGCAGCTAGGCTTGCCGCAGCAGCCTTTGAACTGCCGTGGCCCCAGCTGGTTCCTTTAATTAGACAGAGCATGGCATCTTTCCCGCCTAGGCTGAGAGCGGTTTTTTTGGCATCTCTAGGTAAGTTTCTTTTCTTTGTATTCTTCCTCACATTCCTGTGCCAGGGTGCTTCAGCCATCCTCTCACGTATTCTCAAGGGTCTGTCCATACACCCCTTTTGTCATAGATATGGATGCTTCATGCACTTGAGCTTCCAGACCTCTGCCTACTCATACACACACATCCTGTCCTTTCTCCTGCTTGCTCTGCCCCTCCCCAGGCTCCTTTTTGGCCTATGTCCCATGGGACCAGTTCCAGATCCTACTGAACTTCTTTTACAAGGCCAGGTCCCAACTGACAATATCAGTGAGAAAGAATATAACTTTCCATCATATACCACATGACCTCTTGCTACATGCCAGACTAATTCTCAGATTCATGCAGTTTGTTTATTCTGCCATGACACCCACTTGACAAGAAAGGGGGTGTCATGGCAGTGAGTGACTATCATGGCAGGTGCTTACCTATTAAAGGGGGAATCAATGACCTTCAGGAGCAAGGTCTCTGGTTTCTCCAGTGATACTAAGGTCTACACAGATGCCCTGCAGCCCCACACAGTGCAGAGAGCAAGGTGAGTTTTCCTATATAACATATGGAGTCATTCTAGCCAAATCATGATGGACAAGGAGGAACAAGATCTTCTTTCTGCATCCTAATGGATCTGGTGCATCCACCATCAGAGATGCCTCTTGGTAGTGCATTGCCTGGGATATAGAATATTAGAGCCTTGGCAGGCATGTACCCTACACCTTGAGTAGAAAAGTGAAGGACTTGAGCCATTAAATCATCTTGGCAAAAGGGGCAGAGCTTGAGAGAGGCACTTTCAATTTGGAAATCAACAAAGCATGCCAGTCTTCTTGCTGCAGAGGAGATGAGGTTGTTTTCCTGTTTGAAACATTTTATGATGGGAGCTGTAGTTGGCAAACTGAGTTATGCTGCGGCTTTTTAGCCATAGTCCAGACCTTCCCAGAACTAAGCAAAATTGAACAGAGGGCCTTCTGTGGCACTGGGAGATGTGAGTGCTGTGATTGGACAGTAGATGAGCAAAGCACAACAGTTTCCCTATAAGGAATGTGGCTGGCACAATGCCAGGGTATTGGTACACCGTATAAGGCATGCTTGGCACAGAGCCAGGAGACTGGACAATTTGGGACAAAAACAGTTATAAAAGTAGTAGACAAACAAAGGAACATGCGGGTTAGCATGCTATGACCCTGGGAGGACAGACACAGCTGCTGAGTCCCTGTTCGAACAGCGGGGAGCCAGAAACTAAGAACCCATATCCAACTAAGAACCCATATCCAACTAAGAACCTCCACTCAGTGGAGGACCCGAGACATGGTACCCCTGAAGGTCGCTGTTGTAACATCTAAGAAGCCACTTGCCAGGTCACAGTATGGGAAAGAATCTTGTAATAAAGCTTAGGGATTACTATTAAAGTTCACTTGATACCACATTGGATGAGTTGCTATGCCAAACCTAGGAGGGCTCTGGCAAAAAGAATCCTATTGGTAACAGGAGCAACTTCTCCTGGGTGTCCATCATATCTCTGTTCCTTTAGGTTCTCCACAAGGTGAAATCTGGGTTGCTAGTCTCAGCTGAGTCTGGTAAAACAACCTTTTTCACAGTGAAGAACTTCCCAGATTTTCCTTTTGTTGCTGTGTGGCTAGAATGGAGGTAAGATACTTCTTGTGGATTTATCTTCCCTATGCTTCAGAGTCTGAAGCATACCATGTCTGAATATAAGCAAGCCCTCAATTGAGTAGGCCTGCTTGTCTGAGCTAAGTGCCATTCAACCCAGCCAGAAGGACTTGATACAGGCTTCAGCTGCACCTATTTTGTTCCCAGACCAGAGGAAGGGTACCTTGTGGCTGAAAGCTTGTCTAAAAGGCTAGGGCTAGAAATGACACACAAACTGATATATGTGATTTAAAACCAGCTCAGATCTGTAACACAACAGAAGTTCAGTGCACAAAACCACTTTCAAAGCAGCCAAAACCAGTTTAAGATAAACCTGGATGGATGTAGTATCAGACTTAACTATTTTAATTTAAATCAGTTTGTTGAACTTCTGTCCCAGATCCCTTCCAGGTTCAAGTTAACTCTCAGTCCCCCAGCATCCCAGGTGCTTTGCAACTCCCCCACAAAACCCTGCCTTGCAGGGTGGGCAGGCTAGCCCTAGCCCAAGCTACCTACTCTAATAGATCATGGAGGTACGCTCTAGTGCCCCCCTGGCATCTGGCCTGGGACACTGCAGGCATGTGATTGCATTTCCAGAATCAAAAGTGAATGTTTGTTCACTTGCTTAGCAGTTGAATCTGCACAGGTTAGATTAACCTGCAAAGACTGAATTGATTTAGGCTTCCGCTTTTTGACTGACTTAGAAATGACTCCCACTGAGGCAATCTGTCCAATAAAAGAAATCACCTTTCCCATCCCCCATTCCCCCCAAAGAGAAAAGAAAAAGAAAACACTTGTTTGCCTGTGGCACATTTATATGATATAGGACATAAGCTGTTGCTCTGTTAAATAACAAAATAAAATCAGAACCTATTTATTCTATTTCCAGTAGGTTACTGGGCTCCTCCACACCTTTTATAGGGCTTCATGTCTGAAGGGTAAGACAAAGTCCCAGCAAAGGGAAACTTTTATTAAGAGAGCTTAATTAAGAGCAGTGTTGTCCCCCTTGAGTGGGAAGGTGGACCGAGTGCCCCCAGTCTGTATGCAGCTCCTGCTGTGGGGGCTAGTAAGATGCATTGCCTGTGAGGAAAGCCCTGCCTGGGAGTAGCATTGCCATGTCTTAAATATGAAATTATTATATTGAAAGCTCAAAATTATATTTGCTGCAAAACTATTGTGCACTGAAAAAATATGCAAACAAGTATGCAAATAAGTTTTTTACTTATTTACTTTCTGTTGCTCACTAAGTCTCCAGTGAGTGAGCGAGAACTAGGTCATCAGAGTTGAAACATTTCTTGATTTTGAGGCAAGCAGTCATAAGGCAGGGCTGGTAGCAAACCCAAGTGGGCAAAGATCAAGCCCCCACCCCCAGGGTTAGTTGGCTAACATTGTATTTTCTGTAACCTAGTTGTGTTCCCCTCCTCACCCCCATCCCTCTAATGTTAGTCCCTCGCTCAGGCGATTTCTATTTCCCTGCTGGCTTTGTCATCTTTTTGGATTCACAATCCTAAACATTTACCAATAAAATTCATTCTCCTTACTTGTTCTCAGACTCTTAAAGGCTCAGGACAAGTGTAGTGGCTTCTTAACCTGGCAGGGGAAATACCAAGAAGGCAGTTTTCCTGAACCGCCTCTCGGGAGAACTGCTCTTCTGGCGTGGTTCAGTACCTGCTGAGGTGTAGTGGCTTTAAGCCCACTTTATGGAAATAGGAGGCTCCTTCCTAGCTTGCTCTGAGCATTGTATGGCTGAGGTTTTGGACGCATCCGAAGCCCCAGGTGCGGGTGGTGGATGTTTGCCGGTAGTAGGACCACTTACAGTTCAGGACTCTTGGATCTGGAATTAGTTTTGGCTAATTTGTCCTCGGATACAAATGTAATGTTAAAAAGTTCTCCCTACTTGTTCCTGTGGCTGTTGGCTAGGGGCAAGCGGGACTTTGGGGGCATCCGAGCCCCACACCTTGTGGGCTTGGGCCTGCAGGCAGGATGCCCACTGGAGGATATTTGAAACTGATTTGGCTAATTTCCCCTGGAATATGAATTAAAACAAACAACCCAAAATTCAGTGAAGAGGGTGACTTGGCTTTTGCATGAGTTGCCTCAAAAGGTATCCTGCATCGTAAGCGCTCTTACTATTGCGGCCGGGATGCCGTGCAAGGGTTGAGGGATCAGAGAAGTAGGGCGAGGGCGGGGCGCGACGCCGGGGCGGGGCCGCAGCCGTGAGGCGGGCAGCCCGCG